ACAATATATCAGTGTAGTTACTTATGCTTAAAAGGGAGTTCCTGAGGATCAGAAGACACCCAGCACCCAAGGGGAAGAGGCAGCCATGTTGTCATGCAGCCGCACAGTTGGTGTTTAAAGCCCTTGACCTCACAGACTCAATGCATAGCACACAATCCCCGTGCTTGCTCCACTCAGGGGAGCATTCTGAGAATACGCAAGAGCATTCCAAGGGAACACAGGGAGAGAAAAATGCTCTCAGATGCCATTCGAGACACACATTACATGAATCTTAGAACTAGATCCACATCCACACCTCAGTTCAAACTTGAGCAGATGGAAGGACCATAGGAGGCTCCAGGACCACAGAGATATGACATCCCACATGACAAGCACTCCTGAGAAGCCAAGCATTTCTTGGCAGGTTATTGTACAGGGCCCCCTGGAGACGGGAGACTCAGGTTGCAAATCTTATTTGGTTAGCACTCCAGCTTTTACTGGGCAAACTTTTATCTGAATTAAAAAAAAAAGTCTTGTTTTAAAACTTCTGCTTTCATTTCTTATCCTTGAACACATGTCAAAATTATCTTAATATGAACTGACATCATGTCAATTAAAGAAAATGTGACAAAACCCACTTGGCAAATGAGTAGAGGTACCGTAAAGAGCCTGGATTGTGAGATGGCTGGAAAGTGTCAGCATCCTTGGCAAGGGCAAGAACCACAAACACAGAGGCAACCTGCTCAAAACAAATCGTTTGCAGAGGTGCTCAGTTGGAAGCAACTGGGAAAGGCAGAGGGCACACAAAGGCACATTCTGGCTTGCGCTATGAAAATCTCAGAGCTGCACATAGCCAGTGTGTCTACAGCTGATGAAGATGCTAAGGATTTCTGGCCTCAACATCAGCTAGGTCCTGCAGTCTCCTTGAAAAGGTGTAAAGATAGCTGCTGTCTGTTTTGTTCAAGGTAAAACTCCTGTCTGCATTTTCTGTAGCTGCTGCTAAGAACACTTGTATCAGGGTTGAGAAACATCATTCAGCACAGAGTAGCAGGGGATTTGGATAAGACGACCCATGGCAGTGGCAGTGAAAGAGACAATAGGAAGAAGACTTGCCAACAATATGCAGAACGGGGACCAGATCTGCATGAGGGAGCTTAACTACATTTTAACCAGTGGAGGTTCAAATGTGCTGGCTGCTGGCACTACAGTGAAGCATCTTGCAAAAGTTTGCTGTCCATTCTTTTCCAAGATTTTAGACTTTCTATTTAATTTTTAAATTACATAAGTTTTACTGTGTTTGAGCGTGTGCATATGTGTGTGTGTGTGTGTGTGTGTGTAGTGTGCCTGTGCACACGCACATATCACGACACCTATAGGGAAGTGTAAGGACATATTTGGAGAGTCAGTTTTCTCCTTCTACTATGTGGACTCGGGTCATCAGGCTTAGTGACAAGTGCCTTTACCTGGTAATCAATCACATCAGCCCAGATTTCTATTTAATTTCAATACTACAATTTCTGGCTAAAAACAAAACAAAGCAAAACACTAGTACAGTTCTACTTTTAAAGATTGTCATTCTTTTCTGGGTCGGTTACTTAATCCAGGCACCAGAGTGGACTTCAACTTCATTTCCCAAACACAAGTAAGCAATGTTCACAAATTCCTTTCTTCCTGTTATGAGTTACAAAACATGGACTCTTCTGTAATTCAAACACGCAGTCTAATTAAACATACAAATCTTGAAGTGTTTTTTTCCCCCCTCATTACTCTCTCTTGCTTTTCATATACAGAGACATACAGAGGGTTTTTTTCTCTAAGGTCAAGTACACAGTGTTCTACCAAAAGGGAATAACGTCAAATAAAAATAATAGCAGGGATAAAGAAAAATAAGCACTCAGTCTACATGGAGCCAAGGGAAAGGCAGAGAAAACAAAGAGTAGGAAGTTGTAGGACAATTTCCCAATGCTCAAGTATAATTGTATTTGTTTTGACCTTTGGAGATGAGAAAATGGTATTATAGCAACATTAAAATCATTTTTAAAAGAAAAATAAGTTGATTCAAATCCCATGGCTTAACTATCAATAACATCTCAGAATTTAAGCATATGGATATTTTCTTTCACTTAATTAATGTCATTGTAGGGCATTTTTTTTTTTAAACGGAGGGGTAGAAATTGTTTTTGTCTTATTTCTCAGTGCATCACAATCATTTTCCATTTGAAATTATTTCAACATGGCAATGTAGAAAAAAAAAAGATATAAACAAGAAAGCCACAGGATAAGAGTTGTGAAATACTAACACATTATAGCACATTAAACATTCTCAACTTCTAGTTGTCAGGAAAATGCAAATTGAATTAAGTGAGATACGGCCTTTCATTCCCACTGGATCGGAAGAAGATGTAGCAGTGAATCCGAAGAGAAAATGAAGCAGTGTGTGACCAATGGGAATTTAAATCAGCACAGTGACTGGAGGCCATTTTGAAATCTCAGTTAGAATGAGACTTGTGTATATTCAGCCCACTTCAATTTTCCTCCTCTGTCTATCCACAGATCAGCACCATTTAGCACGATTTCCACCAAGAGTGAAGTTATTCTTTTGTGCCCAGCAGGTTGGTAGGTACTATGATTCTTTTGAACACTTAAAATGGCTAGTATGAGATGGCAACCCAGTTTTATAGCAGAATATGTAAATTCAAACTTCATTGCCTTTAGCAGTACCTGTGTGCAAACACATGTAAGCTCCCAGTTCTCCTGGACTATGTGCATCTGTCTTGTGTTTCCCTCTTCATATTTCTGCTCTTATTTCAAACCTTCTGTCTTACAGTTTTCTGTTTGAAGGCTAAAAAGCAGCTTTAGCTAAGATCAGTATGTTGAACAACATAAACACTAAATCACCATTGAAGCGAAACAAAATGTAAATACTGGGCTGCCTGGGGAAAAGACAGCCAGCTTAGTTCACAAGGAACACTCAGGTGAGAGATGCTACAAGGTTTATTGAGCACTTACTGGGTACCAGGTATCTGCTAAACAGATCATTGTCATCTGGCTTCTGTTTTGTCATGGAAAAACTTGCTTTTGGCTTAATGGCAATTGCTTCTTGGGCAAGGTCCTTTCTAGCTTCAGTTGTCTTTGGAGTTCTGTGGTATCCAGTCCCTATTTTAGTTTCGGCAACCATGTTAGGAGTATGTTGGGCCATCTCATATTAGTCTCAATATCTTCTTACCCTGTCACTTATATTTTCTATACATTTATCTTTGCTATAATTCTGAGCATTTCTCTAGAGCTGTCTTCCAGTTTACTCTATTTAGCTGTGTATAATTCACCAGTGAGACTTTAATTTTAATGATGACATTTTTTTTCCACTTCTGAAACTTATTTGAGTCCTCTTCCAAGTATGTTGTGTATTTTCACATGCCCCATTTTGTCTCATTTTTCAACCCATCTCCTGTGTCTTTAATAATTTAAGACATGTTTCCTTTAGGTTATTACCAAGCAGTGGTATCAACAAAATCTCTGAGAAGGCTGAATCCTCCCACTTATTCTGTGTGTTTTCTCTTGCCTTTGATAGACTTTCCCCCTGTGTGTTCCAAGATTCTGTCATGTTGTTGTCTTACACTCGGCAGGACTTTATTTGCAGATTCCTGAGGTGTGCTGCTTTGGGACTACAGTGAGTGTAATTATGTTACCTCCCTTCCTTGCATCTGTCTGTCTACCTGTCTGCCTTTTATTTGAGTGCGGATCTTACTACACAGCCCAGGAAGGCCTTGAACTTGTAATCCTCCCACCCATGCCTCCAACTGGGGGGGGGGATTACAAGTGTATGCCACCGTATCTGGTTTAGTTAGAGTTTCTGAGGAGGCTGAATCAGACACACATTATAGTTATGGCTTTATGGCTTTATTTTCTCTCCCCTGGGCTTTCTCTTCACTAAGCATGTAGAACTTTAAAGGTCCTGGTTCGAGTCAGAATCTTTTAAAAATAATTTTTAAAAATTATAATAGAATTATATCATTTTTCCCTGTTCCAACTGCACAGCCCTAATTGATGAGCTAGCACGCTCCTTCAAGGAAGTTATATTAACATTTAATCACCCTTCTTCCCCTCCCTGACCCTCTTTCCTACTTTCTCTTCCCCCTTCTCTCAGAAAGAGCACCACTGTGTGGCCTAGGCAGCCTTTGAACTCACAACCCTCCTGCCTCCACTTCCACAGAGCTGAGGTCACAAGTGTGTGCCTCCACACTTGAGTCTCTTTTAAATTAGAATTTGAGGGTCACCCTTATACTTTTCTAGAAACGATGTGCTTTATATGATTCATGTTTTTAGAATATTTTAATTTCCTGAAAAGAAGACTAATAATCTTAGATCTTATTATGTAGACAGTGTTGAAATTTTAAAGACGATGAGTCTGAGATTGTGATAAATCTCAGCAGTCACAGAAAGCTATTAAGGCCTTGATTACAAAACATTGACCTTGGGCCCAGGCTCTTTCTATTTTATGACTCAGTGGATACAAGCATGCTAACAGAAGAATAGTGGGTACCATTTAAAAAAAATAAATAAAGGAAGGAAGGGAAAAATGAAACCCTGTATAAATAAATAATACTTAATCACATGAAAGGTTAACCATAAAACTGCAAAGCAGATTAAAGCCAAGAACACTGGAGTTTCATTCATCATGGCAGACGTGTATATACGCCGCAGGTTGCGAGTATGAGTCCAACATCACTTCTTCCACAGAAGTCATTATAAAAAGATGGAAAAAGATGAATCCTGACCTTTTACAAATCTCGTACAGATGAGACTATTGGGAAAGAATATTCTACTTTTGTTTTGTCTCAACTTCTACAACTGCATTGTGCTACTTCAAACAGGACCCAAGCCCTCAAGTCGACAAAATGTCCAATAGATGCCACAGAAAGAAAATAAGCAATGTCGAGCAGTACAGAAAATAATAATCTATATTTTGTCCAGGTATTAGGAGCTGATGTCATAAACATCATATTCCAAATTCTGTTCTACCAGGGTGAAGCATTTGTATCATGTGTAGATGCAACTGTAAATGAAGACTTGTTAAGTATATATAACCTAAACCTCTGGTCCTGTAAATGCAAAGAAAAATTATATTTTATTGAGAAATTAGTCCAGAGATTTAAAAAAAAAACTGAGAATGGAATAAGATAATTAGCCACTTAAAAGACAATGTCAGAAGTAGCTAATATTATCTAAAACTAGTTAAAAGTTAGAAAGCTAGTATCATTGACTTTGAAAGAAATAGTAATCGTAGAAGCAAAAGGAGCAAACATTTCTTAAAAAATAATAAAAAGGAATTTTTCTCATATCCACTTTAAAAATATTATTTTGGAAAAATATTATTAAAGACATAAGCTTTTCTAGGTTGTTTGTAGTAGGATACATAATCAACATTGGTGATCCTCAGAAGTCATACTTCACTAGGTGGTGAAGGGAATTTGCTTTAGATTACATAAGACATAAGCAGATGCTTTAACTTTTCCAAATGATCTGATAAAGTCACAAACCCACAATGAATCTAAATGCTAATCAAGCTTATAAGACATGAAGCACGAAGTTAATAAACTATATTGGTTGATTTTTGTTTCAAAATACTGGTTAAGATAGACGTCTTGCTCTGTAGTCTTGGGTGGTCTAGAACTCATTCTGTATGCCAGGCTGGACTCAGACTTGCTGCAATCATCCAATCTTTGTTTCCTAAATGCTGAGATTATAGATATTCACTACTTTTCCTGACCAACAAACACTCATTCAAGAGAAACTGTATATAAACCAGATGATGTCTAATTGGAACAACTGAAAAATTGTATTAAAATTTACTAATCAACAAATTTTAGATCGACTGTCAAGAATACATGAACTAATTTACAATGGACTAAACTTTAACATATGCTATATGCCATATATATATATATATATATATATATATATATATATATATAATTATGCAACTGAGTATATATGTGTTAACATGTGATAAAAACACAGTACTTAAAGATACAAAAAAACACAGTACTTATGAAATTTAGAGAAAGGAATAGTATTTTACTGGCCCAAAGGATTAGAAGCTGCATGGAAAAATCCCTCCAGTCTCATTACTCAAATGCTGCTCTGAAATATTTTTTCTGAATATTTAATGTCTAAAAATAAATTGAAGTATGGTCTTTGTGCCTGATGTAGGTTGAATCCTATAGAAATCCCTAGGGCAGAACACTTCTATAGGGAATAAATACATTCATTTTAAGATTTTGTTGGCAGAAAGGGGTAATTTCTTTCACAATCAGCTTTTTAATTGAATTTGTCTTTTGACTATTTCACACATGTACTGAGTGCATTCTGATTTTGTCACCTCCCACCCTCTCCAGTCTCCTCCCCACCTCCTACCTGACAAGTCTCTTTCCTGAGCCATACTTTCTTTCTTTTTAACTCACTGAGTTTTACCGGGGGTGTCTGTATGACTCTGGGTTTGGAATTGTTCAGTGGTACCTGGTGGGCTCATGAGTAGTGGGTACACAACTGAAGATGACCTGCCTCTTCCCCAGAGTCCATCACAAGTCAGATCAAAAGGCAGCTGTGGAGCCGTGGGAGCCAGATCCATGGACTGACTGTCCGCATGCGCACTACAGACACCGTAGCTTTTATGGGATCGTGACTGCATTGGTGTGGCCTTGTCTAGAAGACAGCTTCTCACAGCCTTTCTCCCTCTCTTCTGGCGCTTCTATTCATTCTATCCCCTAGAAGGGGGTGCATTATGAACAAGGATGACAAGCAGAAGGCTGCTTTCAGAGACTCAGTCTTAGTGGCTGGGGTTTCAATGAATTTTGTCAGTTAGTTTAGTCAGCATTTAATTTGGGAAATCAATGCTACCGTTTTATTTAGATTTCAAAGCTTTAGAAAACACTATTTTTATAACACAGGCCACTTTGTTATTCATGTATTCGAAAGGCATTTGTTTTACAGAGTGAAGAACATCCTGTGCTATGGACAGAACCTTGTATCACCCCTCCATCATTCATATTTTGAAGCTGAAAGCCCCAATTAAAACCTCCATGTTACAACAGGGGATGGAGCCTTTGATCTGATGGGATTAGCAACCCTTGAAGGTAAGACAACAGAATTTTGAAGATGGTAAGAAGCTGTTTGCCTTCACTAGGAAGGGAGCCCTCCCAGCAGTTCATTTGGGTATCACTTGGACTTCCAGGTTTCACGGTAGTGAGAAAACAAATTTGGGTTGTGTTGTTTACACACCCATACTGTGATGCTTTGTTATGGCAGCCAAAGACAGAGACATCCTAAAAAAAAGGGAAGGGCATGTTCTAAAAAATTGTCAGTGTCATGGTGGTGAATACAATCTGCACAAACATTAGGGTTTAATGGAAGCTAAGGAGAATATGCTAAGTAAATGCAGCACCTGCCCTAGAGCAGAGCTTCTAAGGGTCAGAGTGGCAGGGATGCTGTAAAGAACAGTGTCAGGCAGCTGGTAGAAAAGGAAGATGGACAGTAGATTGCATGATTATAGTGTCAAAGTATGTTTATGAAGCTGGTATAACTGCAAAGTGTAAGTTAAGGGAAAGCTCTTATTTTTGCAAATATATACTAAAGTTTTTAGACTGAAGGCCTGTGATGTATACAAATTGTCTCCAGTGGTTCAGAAAATGATCACAGACCATACTAATAGCCACATAAGTAAATAGGGTGAGATGTGTACAGTAGGTATCCATTAACCTTTGTATTACATTTCTGCAATACATTTGTTAAGTCTAAAATTGTTTCTAAAGAAAAAAATAGTAATTATTTTGTCTGAAAATTACTTAAAAAAAAAAAAAGAAACCCAGAAACCCAATGCTTACTTGGACTCAGGCCAATGTCATAAAGTAGGGCAGTCACACTGATTTCACTAGTCAGTCCCTGAGAAAAAGAAAGCAGTCACACCTGACCTTGTTAGCATGGTGTACTTCACACATAACTGTTTTGAGAAAGCTCCTGAGGGTCTGTGGGGAAAGTCAGTCCCATCTCCCTGCAGTCTTCTCTAACTGACAGACAGAAAGGGACCGGATCATCCCCCAGACCACCCCTGTTTTATCAGAGAAGACAATGACCAGCCATCTCAGACACCTGGGAACTTACCTCACATTTCTAGATACAGATTTAAATCAGACAGGACTTTAGCAGGAGCAATCTGCTAAAATCAAGTCGGTTCTAAATACTTTTTTTTTCCTGTCACAAAAGGAAGTGGGAAACAGCAACAAGAGCAACAAAAAAACACCCGATTTTTTTTTTTCAAAGTCAATCAAGGCCACCTAACCCATCACTGTTTAGTACTGTTTTCCTCAATAAGAAACTACGGTATACGTGTTGGAAAATACCCGTAGCCTGAGGAAGAAGAAAGACAAAGCTATGATTCTACAAAGTAAAAATTTCCTCTTATTCCATTTTTAAATGTTTTCCCAAGTGAATATATGACTTACAGAAGTGATAATCCTAGAATAAATGACATCGTATTGTAAACAGTGTTAGTAAGTCCTTAGACAGTGTTGTATCACAAACACATTTTATGTTACTAGATTGCCAGTATTCCATTTTGAAGAAAACTCACCCATGAATTGTTTCAGCCATATGATTATTTCCTTAGGACGAATATTACAATCAGATTTTTAAAATCAAAGGTAGAAATATTGTTAAGGTTTTCTTATACAAGCTTGCTTAATAGACATCAAGTTTAGCTTATTCTCTACCAAGCATTTCTGAGAAGACTTGAATTTGCACCCCACTTTATTCTTTGGAAATCTAAATTATGTTGCATTGGTTACCAGTGAATAGAGAAGTCTCTGTAAATCTTCTGTCATTTTACATATAATGAATTTGAGATTTTGTGTCTTTATCTTATTTATTTATTTATTTACTTATTTTGGTTTTTTGAGACAGGGTTTCTCTGTGTAGCTTTGTGCCTTTCCTAGAACTCACTCTGTAGCCCAGGCTGGCCTCAAAGTCACAAAGATCTGCCTGCCTCTGCCTCCCGAGTGCTGGGATTAAAGGCATGCGCCACCACCGCCTCGCAGTGTGTCTTTTTTAAAATTTTACTCTTGAGCTATTTTTAAAAGTAGTCTGTAAAAGTTTTAAGGTAATTTATTAACTTGTTTTGAAGTGCTTGATATTTTTTCTCAACGTTTATCTTTAAATTGCTAAAGAGTTATAGGAATCAATTGATATTGCAATGAATTGTGTAATATATACAAAAATATTCCATCATCTGATACGTGATTTAAATTTACTAGTCACTACTAAATGTCTTCAAAAATACAAAAATAAAGCAAAACAAAACCAACCAAACAACCAAATAGGAATTAGTTAAGGATCACATGCTTTGTTTCTTCTGACTGCTTTGAATCTAGAACAACCCTTGCCTTTTTCTACTATGCTGTGGACATTTTAAAAGAGAACAGATGAGTTGCTCAAAAAAGTACTTCAATTTCTGAACTTAGATTTCTGTGTGGTGTGATCAGAAACCTTAAATTACTTGGGCAACCATGTCAAGCATTTTCTTTATGATCACTGGTTCCAGCATCATTCTGAGAAATCCCTTTCATGTACAATCATAGAGATGTATAACTGTTATTTTTAGTGCATTTTTAAAGGAATTACATGTAAATTTCATAACAGATTATTTTGGTGAAGTGAATGAACAGATTCTTAAGTATTTGAAGTGACCGCTTAGGAGTAAATGATAAGGAAATAGTGTTGACAAGAAATTTTGTGTGGGATGTTAACACGAATAATATTGACTGCAACTATAAACAACATATTTATTTTCTTTGTCAGGCTTCAGATATTGTACCAAATGAACACTGCATCAAAGACAGGAAAGACCATGGGTGAAATATAAAATGATCACCTCCAATTTTATGTTAACATCTTATTCTATTTTATTATTTTTCCCCAAAGAACCTCTAACATTTTTCAAAATGGTAGAGACTGTAACACAGAGGGACAGTTTTAAATGCCGCTGTTAAAATAAAAGCGAGGAGGGGAAACTGAGTCATTATTTCTAAGCTCACTGCTTGTATCAAATGTGAGTTGGAGCAGTTAGTTGTATCAGGCAAGGGTTTCCAACACCACAGAAACCAATTTGCCTCTTGGTTATTGCATATATAAGTAGATAGGTTATACTGTAGGGAGGGCAGTATTCCCTACACATTCATAATCAGGAGCGCAGCTCTTCTTGACAGGACTTCTCTGATCATCATGTTTCAATTCAGCTAACTGCAAAGGAGAATTTAATTACTTCTTTCACGTAAGACTGAATTTGTTTATGCATTTTTAAAGGCAGATTTGGCTTACCAAAGGACAGTAGCCACTGATGGGAAGTGCTTAAGGTAGGAAGCTTTGAAATGCTTATAAGTAATGACTAAGAAGCTGTGGTTTATAATTTCAATCTTCCTGACTTTCAGATGTCTGCTCACCAGAAAGCCACAATTTTAAAGTGGTAACATGAAGCTTTTGTGAGGAGATGTTGCATAAGTTGACTTGGGAGTGCAATTAATGCGACTCCTCCTTTTAAAGTCAGCTGAACTTACTCAAGAAAAGGTCCCTAACCAATGACTCAGTGTTTAGTTCTTAGATACTTACCCAGGGCCTCTGAGGAACTGTGCCCACCAAAAGACAGATACAAGAACGGTGCTAGCAGCCTCATTCAAAATAGTTCCAGATCAGAAACAACTTTAGTGTCATCCAATAGGAAAATGGATCGGTTGTATAGTCACACAACGAAATAGTATACAGTAATAAAGAAAGAGCTATTTGCAACACATGAATTAGTCTCACATATATCCTGAATGATTTCCTTTGTATGGAGCTTACAATCTGGCAAGCTAATCTTCAGTAAGGGGGACCAGAGTTATTTATCTCTAGGGATTGAGGTTCACTCAGAAAAGGCATGAGCAAGCCTGGTGAATGCCATCCAATAGGAAAATGGATGGTGATTGTACAGATGCATATACATGTAAGAATTAAATGACTGCACACTAAATTAGTGTACAAACTTACCTTACTGTGTGCATATTCTATTTTATAAGAGAAAAAAAATCTGCTACTGATGGTTTTAGCTTAATGAAAGTTGGAATACATACATTTGAGCTTCTCTGTATTAACATAAAACCATTAGCCCTTAGCTACTTCACAGTATCTGCCTCTGTCCTTCGCCCTTGGTGGCTTCATTGTATCTCTCCGTCTTTACCCCTGAGAGGCTTCATTGCATCTCTCTGCCGCGCCCCCCCACCCCCGCCCCCAGCCCTTAGCGGCTTCGTGGTATCTTTCCATCTTTCCTCTACGAAGTTCTTTTGATGGCTGTGATCACTCTCTAACCTTGTCTTACTTCAAACATCGTTCTTAGTCGTTCCCTGAAACAAGCTGTTCCAAGATCCCTAATATCGTTGCTATTAAATTTAATGAACAACTTTCGGTGTATTTTTTATGACCTGTCTGGAGCATTTCATACTTTGGACCTCTTCTTCCTCTTTGAAAATCTTCCCCTTTCTAGTTTCCCTGATGCTGCTTTTCTTGTTTTTCCCCCTGCCTCTCAGGGGATGGCCTTGTAGCCTTCTTCGCAGCTTCCTTTATCTCTTGGTCCACCTCTGGACTCTGCTCTAGCCCTTGCCATGTCACATTCACACTTAGCTCACCCATACCATCCACTCCCTATACTTCCATTAGTTCTTGAAAGGCTTGTTTTCAGCCTTTGGTTGAAGCCCAGATCTATTTATCCCACAGCCCATTAAACATCCCTGCTTTAATTTCTCACACACACCCAAACTCTGCATTACTGTCCCGGCCCACATCGTCTCCCCATGCGTATTCTACCTTCATGGATGCCATCACCATTTACCCAGAGGACCAAACCCCAAACTGACGAGTTTCCCTTAGTTTATTCACCCACATCTTTCCTGTGATGTACTGTCGCCTGATTCTGCCTGCAGAGTTACACTCGGTCTTCTCTACTTTTTTCTGTTCTCACTACACTATGGAGTTCAGGTTAATGTCACCGCCCACCTAGCTTTTCTCACTTCCCACTCATTCCCACAGTATAGCCAGAGAAAATCTATTTTCATTAAATGATTTTTTTTTTTTTGCAAATTTGATTGTATTTTTTTTGTATGAATGTTTCTTATACAAAGAGAATGGAGAATCCTTTGTTTAAATTTCTAAAGTGTATTTCTCATTCTTTTTTTTTTTCCTTTTGGTTTCTTTTGTTGAGACAGGGTTTCTTGTGTCACCCTGGCTGTCTTGGAACTCACTCTCTAGACCAGGCTGGCCTCGAACTCAGAGATCCTCCTGTTTCTGTCTCCTGAGTGCTGGGAATAAAGGTGTGCACCATCACTGCCTGGCATATTTTTTATTCTTAAGTGTACTGTATTTTTAATTTTTCATTAGCATAAAAAGAACTAGTAATCATTGTCATTATGTTAAACAAAAACTGTCTTGTTGTTTCTCTTCTTCCCTTCAATCTACTTTCTGCATATGCTCTCCTGCATATGGTATATGTACTTTAAGCATTTGCATTTAAATATGAAATATCAATACTGTTTCACTTACAAAATACAGAAATGCCTCCTATTATGGTTTAGTAGACTGTGAATACATTAGCAAGGAGACTTCACATGGAAGATCTGGGATGGTGCAAATGAGTTCTCTTTTACATTAACTGTTGATCGAGTTGTGTGGGAGCAAAGGAGATGATGTATGTAGAAGAAACAAGTATCATTAAACAAGTGTTTAACAATTCTTTATATATAATTTTATTTTTTTAGGTGCTGGACATTGAACCCAAGGCACCATGCATGTGAAGCAAATACTGCCACTTAACTGTGTCCCCCAAACATTTATTTGTTTATCCACTCTTTTTATGAAAATGTAGTGTCAAAAACAGTGATAAATATTAGATGCAGAACTCACTGAGTTTATGATGCTGAGAGAGACAATTATGTATTAACAGTTAAATATTATGTATTAACAATTCATTATTAACAGACACAGAACAAAATCATGGATATCTCCATTTGTTGGTGGGACAAGTCATGTCCACATGGGAAGGAAAGAGTTAACTGAAACACCAGGCGTCTTCCCTGTGGCTGGAGATGATTGACCTCAACAGGCTCCTTGTAAACATGCTAATAGTATTTACTAGTGGAAAGATACCAGAGTCCCCATCTAAAATGATGGGTTTTGGCAGGACTGATGTGTTCTGTCTAGACTGTGTATTGTAAATAAACCTGCAGTGTATGGATTTATGAGACACGGCTGGCTGGAGGTTGGGAGGTACTCATGTAAGCATTTTCTGTCTAACTAGAAAAAGGATAATGGGAATCTCAAAACTAAAGTGGATTTTTTTTTTTTTAAAGAACACTATGTTCACACGAACTGTTCAGAACTCAGCTGTTAACTCTGAAACTCAAACAACATCCTAATTTAAAAGAAAAGGTCAGATTTGACTGATAGAGTCTGGCTCCTCCTCTGAGGGCTACCTCATCTGTATTAGATGCTCATTGGTAAAGTCTAACATGATGACACTCAGGAGTCTACTTTGAGCTTTCAACGCTTCAATCAACACAGCTAAATGTACACAAGAAATAAGAAGCTGATAAATAAGACTCGATCACACCACGAGAGAATATTTTTAAGGCAGTGTTGTAAATCTTAGTTAATATTTTGAAATAAATGGATTACTACCTAACATTATATGTTAAAACAAAAAATAAATAAAAAGGGGAAATCATTTAAAAATTAGATAAGAAAATGGCTGATGCCATTTCTGACTTTTAGTAAGAAAAAAAGCAAACAAAAATAATGAAATAAATATAAAATAAAGTCAATCAAACATCAGAAGAACAATTGAAAAAGAACAGACAGACAGCAGGTGGGAACTATTTAGGACACATTTGGGGGAGCTGTGTGTAGTAACATACCAACATAAAATCCAGTCCATTTTCCTGGCTGGTTGTTCGACTGGCTGTGCAGAAGTTTTATAATTGTATGTTTTCCTGTTTATCCATCTTGGAGGCTATTTTCTGTGCTTTGGGTATCCTGTTCAGAGAGTTGTTGCCTACGCCTATATTTTGAAGTGTTCTCTGACAGCACCTCCAGTTTCTCGGGGTTTAATTTAATGTCTTTGGTCAGTTTTGAATTGACTTTTATGAAGAGGAAGATAATCTCATTCTTCTACATGTTAGTCTCCAGCTTTTCAGGATCCATTTGTCAAGTATTCCCCCCCCCCCCGCCTCCCCGCTTCCCTCTTGTGTATGCTTTTGATACCTTTACCAGATATTAAAGGACCATGGTCTATTTCTGGGTCCTCTTTTATTTTCCACTGGTCTAAGTGTCTGGTTTTGTGCTTTGGTTCCTTGGCCTATATGCCTTTGTAAGTATAATTTGAAGTTAGGAAGTCTGATAGCATTGTCAGCCTTCCGTTTGTTTCGGATGGCTTTGATTATCTGTGGTATTTTGTGTTTGCATATGAATTGCAGGATTGTTTTTCTTTTTCCCACTTCAATGAAAAATGCCACTAGAATATTGATGGACAGGGATTACATTAATCTGTAGGTCATTTTCAGCAATATAGCTATTTCATAATAGCATTCTGCCAATGTAGAGACATAGAAATCCTTTCTATTGTTTTGTATCTTTTTCCTATTTCATTTGTGTAGCTAGAGTTTTCCTGCCTTGCCCACAGTCAGGACAAATCTCTGTCACCCGCCAGTCCCACAGCCGCTCAGACCCAACCAAGTAAACACAGAGACTTATATTGCTTACAAACTGTATGGCCGTGGCAGGCTTCTTGCTAACTGTTCTTTTATCTTAAATTAACCATTTCCATAAATCTATACCTTGCCACGTGGCTGGTGGCCTACCGGCATCTTCACATGCTGCTGGTCATGGCGGCATCTGGCAGTCAGTCCTTCTGCCTTCCTGTCCTTTTATTTCTCCTCTCTGTTAGTCCCGCCTATCCTTCCTGCCTAGCCACAGCCGATCAGGTTTTATTTATTGATCAATCAGAACAACTTGACATACAGACCATCCCCCAGCACAGCCAAGTGCAGACCATCTCAGACACCTGCACTCAGGCCCATGGTCCTAATCATCCTCTATGCGGACCTGCTGGGTAACGCCACAAAGAACCCAAGAAGGGCTCCCACAGGACATACAGAACATCCCACAGCACATTTGCCTTACTCTTTTTAAAAACTGTTTTTCATTTTATCTTTATTTTGTATGTATGCATGTTTTGCCCACTGACATGCCTGTATGACAGGGATGCGGTGCCCTTGGAGACAAGAAGAGGGCTTTCATCTCTAGGTCTGGAGCTGAAATTGGTTGTGAGCTACCATGTGTGTTGTGGGCATCAAATTCAGGTCCCCTGCAAGAGCAGCTTCTGTTCTTAACCACTGAGCCATCTCTCTAGCCCACAATTCCTTTTTTTGGTACCTTACATTGATCTTTGTAAAGGTCTTGAACATTATTATTATTAATTTGTAGGTACACTCTCTAAGCTATTGAGAATGAGATATTTTCCTAATTTCTTTCTCAGAAAGTTAGTTGTCGATATGAAAAAGGTACTGATTTTTTTGCAAATTTTTTGTATCTTGCAAGTATATTGAAATGTGGCCTCAGATTCACATGGAGGCACCAGTCTCTGCCTTTCAAGTACTGGGATTAAAGGTATGGGCCGCCACACCCAGCCCTCCATATAGTGTTTAAAGTATTGTCTGCAGGTAGGGAGAATTCACCTTTTCCTGCCTATGTCTTTTCCTTCCTTCCTTCCTTCCTTCCTTCCTTCCTTCCTTCCTTCCTTCCTTCCTTCCTTCCTTCCTTCCTTCCTTCCTTCCTTTCCTTTCCTTTCCTTTCCTTTTTTCTTTTTTTTGTAGTCTTTTCTTGTCTAGTTTTCTATGCTGTTCAGGCTGCAGGGCAGACACTGTTCACAGGGAGGGTCATGCAATCCAGTAATGTGGGAGTGTTGATCCGATTCATTTCTGACTTGGGTTGGCCCACTTCTCCTTAGACAATCCTGAACAGGGCTCAAGCTAGCCTCTCGACTCATCATTTAGAGTAGATGGGACAATAACTGTGCAGTAGTATGTTCTAGGAAATGATAAAAATTATAAAAGAAAATACAAAATACAAGTCTTTACAGGTTTGAGTTAGACATAGAGATCTTAAGGTACCGAAAGTATGATTCATAATAGACAAAGATCGACAAACTGGTATTCATTGAACTTAAAAAACTGATCTGTAGAAAGTACTATTAAGAAAATTAAAATTTGAACCTTGAATAGAGAAAAATATTTATATATTATATTTCTGACAAGGACTCATAGTAAGAATGCATAAAAAACTCTCTTATGCCAGGAATTGTGACAAATGCCTTTAATCTCAGTACTTGGTAGGTAGAGGCAGGTGGATCTCTGAGTTCCAGGCCAGCTTGGTTTATGTAGTGAGTTCTAGGACAGTTAGGGCTATGTAGAAAGACTATGAATATCCTTCTAAACTGTCAGAAATATATAAAAATGAATTTTACTATAAGTTAAAGTTTAAAGAATTAAAATTATAGAGAGAGATTAAAAGATAAAAGGCTGGGAAATGATTGTTGCATTTGAGGAAGTTAAGCTTTATAGAAATGTTTAATTTTTGTCATAATGTTAATTAAAGTTGTCCTTATTGTTTTAGGCTAATTAGATAAAAATTAGATACTGCATTCACCAACTTTTTGTTTTGTTTTGTTTTGTTTTGTTTTTTGAGACAGGGTTTCTCTGTGTAGCTTTGGAGTCTTTCCTGGAACTCACTCTGTAGCCCAGGCTGGCCTCAAACTCACAGAGATCTGTCTGCCTCTGCCTCCCGAGTGCTGGGATTAAAGACGTGTGCCACCACCGCCCGGCTTGCATTCACCAATTTTTAAAACCCCATAAATCCAGTAGAGAGCCTTACATTTAATTGTTTGAGACACTAGTTATCTCCAAGACTATGATTCCTCTCCTCTTTTTTTTTTTTTCTGAACACCCCTCCAACCCTTCCAGTGTTTCTCTGTGACTGTGTGTGGTGGCATTATCATCGAGAACAATTATCACAGAGTTCTTCATGTACCAGGTTTTGGATAGACTAGTAGAAGACTTAGATGCCAGCTTAATAGAATAGGCATAAATATTGTTCATATGTCAGGCTCTTTTATGGCTCTTCAATAAAAATCAAGAGTCTAACATCAACACCACATTTCTGTGATAGGCTTTCCACTGTAATCTACAGCAAGCCGATCAGCTAGACAGCTTTCTGAAACTTTGTCTCAGTCTAGGGATAGAACTTGGAAGAGCTCATCATGTTCCCAGGCCATATATCTTGAGTAGTAATAGTTTTACTTAAGATTCTGCAAAGAGGTAAAGCTTGAAGAGTCCAAAAATGACCATCCCTAGCAGGAACAATGGAAGTCTTCTTATCTTTTGTCATTAAGACTGGTAACTGGATGCTTAATAAGGCAGCAGTAACTATATTCTGAGTGGGTAGATAGATGCACAATTCTGTCTTATGGTAACAGCCTGAGGCCTTTCCTGAGTGTAGATCCATCTATTGGAGTTCTGCATCTGGCACTCAGAACACATCAGCTCCAATTTCCACTTTCAGTTTCTCTAAGTACAGCAAACGCTGAAAGACATTGTGATGCATACAAAGTGTAGCATCCCTCTTGACTTTTATGTTGATTTTTATAGCTTTTTAAAATTCTATTATCCACACCTTGTCTAGAAGTAGCTTGCTAACCTGGTCATGATTCAACAGGCTTCACAGAGAGAATGGAGTGTCATTTAATCCCATGACTAAGAGGGATGCAGGTTTTAAAGAAATACCTAGAAGATTTGTCACTGACTGGCAGTGCATGTATGCTTAGAGATGTTTTTGGGAAGTGAAGGGTATGATATGCACATAAAGCTGGATCGTGAGAACACATGAATAAGGACAATATTTCCATCCTACAACAAAATAACAGCTACTGCTAATGATGAGGCACAGTTGGGGTTGTATTGTGAGTGCCAATGGCAATAAAGCCAGAAGGAACATAATTACACTGGGTAGCATGATTTCTTTTTCTCCATGTTCCTCCCATCTAGGATATTTGGTACCTG